CACTCAAACTCTCTCAATCCCTCTCAATTTCTCTCAATCTCTCAAATCTCTCTCACAATTTTTCTAAAAATTATCACATTATTCTAAAGCTCTCTCTCTCTCTCAAATCACTCTTATTTTTTTATAATGAATTCTTTTGGTTATAGTGGCATTCCCGTTGATGCCCAACACAATGTGAAAGAAGGGTAATTTCCCACTAATGAATTTGTTACGCAGGAATCTACTAATCCGAGCCCTGGTGGACGTACTGGAGGTCGTGGTCGCAATGGTGGTGGGCGCGGAAAAGCGGCGAGTGCAAGTGTGGCTGCGTCTGTAAGTGTTGCAACCTCCAAGAGGAAATGCAAGCGCACCTCGACAGTGGGATCACTTCGATACAATTGAGGAGTTCGACAATGAAGGTAACACCAAATATATAGCTCAGTGTAAATATTATTTATCTAAATTACAAGGTGACACTATTCACGACACCACACACTTGAGAAGACACTCTGAAAAGTATCTTCAAAAGCTTAGCCAGTCTGGCGGACCCGAACTCCGCCAAACACAATTATCTTTTGATCACGCAACCGGTGGTCTAACCACTTAGAAATACAATATGCAAGTAGATCGTATGGAAGTTGCGCGAATGATAGCTGCATTAGATCAACCACTTAGTTTTGTAGAGCATTCTACTTGGCAACGATATATTAAGGTTGTACATAATCCTAATGCACAGTTCACTTTAAAAACTACTCTTAGGAAAGATTTATTAAAATTATTAAAAAAAGAAAAAGAAGCATTAATAAACCTTTTACACTTGACTAGCGGGCGCGTTGTGTTAATGGTAGATATTTGGTCTGCCGTTGCCAATAAAGATTATTTAGCTGTAACCGGACATTACTTTAAAGGATTCGATTTAGATAAGAGAATATTATGTTTTAAATGTGTTCTAGGATCACATAGTGCGGATTTAATATATAATACAATTTTAAATGTAATTGATGAATTTAGATTAAGAGATAAAGTAATGGCTATAAGATTAGATAATGCTAGTGCCAATACAAAAGCAATTGAAGTTTTTGAAAATGATTTAAATTTATTCGGCGACGGTACTATTTTCCACCAACGTTGTGCATGTCACGTAATTAATTTAATAGTTAAATCTGATTTAAAAGAAATGGGTACTCACATTAAAAGAATTAGGGGTAGTTTTACATGGATTTAAGGTAGTAACCAAATGCAAGAAGATTAGTTTAAGTTCTTACAAGCATTAAATATACCTCTTAGAGCATTAGCGTTAGATATGCCTGTAAGATGAAACTCAACTTATATAATGCTTCAACAATACATCCCCTATAAGAATGCTATAACAAACTATATGTGTGTAAAATTAGGAGTGAGACATATAGATGCATATGATTGGCAAATTGCCGAAGTTTTTTTTATCAATTTTTAGGTAAGTTTCATGAAGTTACTTTAAAACTTAGTGGAACATATTACCCAACATAATCTTTAGCTTTAGGTGAACTTTTAAGAATTAGTATTTTATTTAGTGAATATAGAGAGGACCCAATCTTAGGAGTTCCTATCCATTCTATAGAAAAGAAATTTAAAAAATATTAGTCTAAGTTACCTTTGTGTATAGTTTAGGTACTATTTTTTATCCTAGATTAAAATTAGACGGTTTAGAAAGTGGTTAAAAAAACTTAGGTGAATTTTTAGGCATCAATTGTTCGGACCAATTTCCAACAATAAAGGAAAAAAATATATTCGATCTATAGTAAATATGAGAATAGGTTTAAAAGCACAAACTCTAGAGTCTAGGAACCGCAACTGTTGGGAATAGTGTCCTAAAAGTATAAGATGTAATAGGATATTTGTTATTTAATTAATAAAAGAGTCTATTCATCATTTTATGTGCATATATTTATGAATATTTTATGAATATTAAATGAAAATTTTGTGATTATTTATGTAACCTTAAACATAGTATATAAGTGTTATATACAAGAGGATAGTGTTTAAGGATAATAATCAAAAACATTGTTCATAATGAATTTAATTAAAGTTTAGAATCTTTAATTAAAACATTATTAATACATGTCATTCCCATTTAGAATGGAACGGTGCTATCCGCACTGTTAATATGGTGAGATATTGAATGAGTGTATTTCGCATAATGAGATTGTGTGGAACAGGGACACAGACACAATATGAATTTCTAATAATTTCCGTTAAGCATAGAAATTCTAATTGAGTCTACCGATGGTCATATATAGAATGATTTTAATCTTGAGTTCTTAACAAACTCCTATTTATGGATTTATGTCTTTTGATTTACTCGGTACAGATTCCGAGACCCTGAATCCTATTTCTTGTATTTTGGAGACATGATGAAATAGGTAGCCGGGAATGTTATTATACGAGATGGAATCCATTCCTTATTGAGAAAGAAGTAGATAAATAATTCTCTTGAGTGTTGATTCGGTACTTGGATTAGTAAGAGCACCCTGGTTCATGAATGTGTTTTATGAATCACTGT